AGACAAAAATAGAATCTATTATAAAGGGAATGACAAACTGAAAAGGAACGGCATCACATTCATTGTCAAAGGGAACATTTCAAGAGCTATCTCAAAGTACAATGACATCAGATATAGGATAATATTTATACACATACAAAGAGTTGGCCAGATGCTTGTTTTCCACATTTTCTTGGCATTGTTGTTATTGTTAGGTGCCATCGAGTCGGTACCAACTCATAGTGACCCTATGCACAACAGCATGAAACACTGCCTGATCTTGGGCCAACTTCACAATTGCTGCCATGCTTCAGCCCATTGAGAATGATTTCCTTCAGTGCCACATCCGTTTATTGAAAGATTTCAATTTGTATTCCATCAATTCCCAGAGCCTTGTTCTTTGTCAAAGTCTTCTTTGACAAACCTTTGACTTCTTCCTTGAGTGTCACTGGTTCTTGATCATATGCTATTTCTTGAAATGGCTGAACATTGACAATTTCTTTTTAGTATATGACTCTGTATTCCAAGAAAACTGGAAGACAGCAACCTGGCCAACTGACTGGAAGACATCCATATGTCTGCCCATTCCAAAGGGAGGAGACCCAGCGGAATGCAGAAACCATCAGACATTTTCATTAATATGGCATTCAAGCAAAATCTTGCTAAAGCTACTTCAAAAAGTGCTGCAACAGTACACTGACAGAGCACTCCCAGAGGTTCAGGCCAGATTCAGAGGCTGTGGAAAGAGGGATCTCATTGCTGATGTCAGATGGGTCTTGGCTAAAAGCAGAAAATACCAGAAAGATGTTTACCTGTACTTTATTAACCACGCAAAGGCTTTCGACTGTATGGATCCTGACAAGCTATGGACACCATTGCAGGGAATGAGTATTCAGGACACTTAATTGTGCTCCTGAAGAGCCTGCACATGGACCAAGAGGTGGGTGTTCAAACAGAACAAGGGAACACCAAATGGTTTAAAATTAGAAAAGGTTTGCGGCAGGGTTTTATTTTTTCACCATATTCATTAAATCTGTATACTGAGAAAATAATCTGAGAAGTTGGATTATATGAAGAACGTGTCATCAGGATTGCAGGAACAGTCATTAACAATCTGCAATAACAATCAATTAACAATGATGCAACCATACCTGCTGAAAGCACAGAGGACTTAAATACTTATTGATGAAGATCAAAGATCACAGGCTTTGATGTGGGTTGAACCTCAATGTAAAGAAAATACAAATCATCACCACTGGACCAATAAACAATATCCATCTAAATGAAGAAAAGATTGAAGTTGTCAAAGGCTTCATTTTGCTCAGATCAACCATCAACTCTCACGGAAGCAGCAGTCATGAAATCAAATGGCATAGTGCATTAGGCAAAGCTGCTACACAAGACCTCTTTGAAGTATTTAAGAGCAAATATGCCAATTTGAAGACGAAGGTGTGCCTGACCCAAGCCCTGGTATTTTCAATAACCTCACATGTATGTAAAAGTTGGACAGTAAATAAGGAAGATCATAGAAGAATTGATGCATTTGAGTTATAGTGTTAGAGGAGAATACTGAAAGTACCATGGACTGCCAAAAGAACAAACAAATCTGTGTTGGAAAAAGTACAGCCAGAATGCTCCTTAGAAGCCAGGATGGCTAGACTTTGTCTGCAATACTTTGGACTTATTGTTAGGAGGGACCAGTCCCTTGAGAAGGACATCCTGTTTATAAAGTGGGCGGTCAGTGAAAAAGAGAAAGATCTCCAACAAGGTGGATTGGCACAATGGCATCAGCAGTGGGCTCAAGCATAGCATGACCAGGCAGTGTTTCGTTTTGTTGTGCATAAGGTTGTTATGAGTCAGCACCAACTCGACAGTGCCTAACAACACCAACAAGAAAGACTAGTTAATACAACTACTGCTCAAACTTACACACCAACCACTAATGCCAAAGGTGAAGATTTTCACTGACTTTTTCAGTTTGAAATTGATGAAACATGCAACCAAGATATATTGATAATTACTAGTGATTTGAATGTGAAGGCTGGAAACAAAGCAAAAGGACCAGCAGTTGGAAAATATGGTCTTGGTGATAGAAATAAGGCTGAAGACGACATGAAAGAGGTTTGCAAGACCAATGACTTATTCATTGCAATTACCTTTTTCCAACAACATAGACAGTCACTATACACTTGAACCTTGTCTTGCCTAGCTGGATAGAACATACATGAGTCAAAGCGATGTTCTGTGGAGAAGACTATGAAGACTCTCAGTAACATTAGTCAGAACAAGGCCAGGGACAGACTGAGACCAGACCATCAATTGCTCATATGCAAGTTCATTTTGAAGCTGAGGAAAATTAAAACAAGTTCCTAAGAGCCACAGAACAATCTTCAGTACGGTGGTGGTGGTATACCGTGAAGTTGGTTCTGACTCAGCGATCCTGCATACAGTTTCCAAGGCTGAAAATCGTTACACAAGCAGAAAGCTTCATCTTTTTCCTACAGAATGGCTGGTACTTTCAAACTGCTGACCTTGAGGTTAATGGACCGACTCATTAGCACTATGCTACTAAAGCTCCTTATCGTCAGTATATCCCACCTGAATTCTGAGACCATCTTAGGAATATATTTGATGTACTGAACACTGATGACCAAACACCAGACAAGTTTTGGGATGACATCAAGCAATTAAAAATGAAGACAGCAAAAGGTCGTTAAAAAGACAGCAAAGAAAAGACCAAAGTGGATGTCAGAAGAGATCGAAACTTGTTGAATATCAATGTATGGCACTGTGGGTTAATGCGCTGGACTGCAAAGTCAGTGTGAGCCGCAAGGTTGGTGGTTCAGTTCACCAGCCACTCCTCGGAAACCCTATACAGGTCACTATGGGTCAGAACAGACTCTCCGGCACATAACAACAACAACAAAGTGAATGGAGGAGTCCTGGTGTGGCACTGTGGGTTAATGTGCTGGACTGCAACTTCGGTCTGAACTGCAAGGTCGGTGGTTCAAGCTCACCAGCTGCTCCTCAGGAACCCTATACAGGGTCACTATAGGATGGAACCAGGTTGACGGCACTTAGCAACAACAACAAAGTGAACAAAAGAAACGATGGGGTAAAGCTGAACAGATTTCAAAGGGCAGCTTGAGAGGATAAAATATTATAAGCTAGGAAACCAAAGGGAAGCACACCATAGGCATTTCTTAAACTGAAAGTACGGAAAAAAAAAATAATTTAAGCCCTGAGTTGCAATACTGATCAATACAAGAAGCATCAAAAGAAAATGGAAGGAATACACAGTTACTGTACCAAAAATAGTTGGTTGACATTCTACTCTTTTGTAGTTTGTTAAGCGCCGTTGAGTTGGTTCCAACCCATAGCGGCCCTGCATAGGGTTTCCGAGGAGAGGCTGGTGAGCCGGAACCGCTGACCCTGAGGTTCAAACTGACTTTGCAGTCCAACACACTAACCCGCCATGCCACACCAGGGCTCTCAACCATTTTAGAAGGTAGCATACAATCAAGAGTTGATGGTATTGAAGGAAGATGTCTAAGATACATTGAAGATAATGATACAAAGCAAGGCTTTCTGGAAGTGCTCATTCATATATGCAAAAGATCTGAAAGGCCTAGCCAACCAACTATAAGAGATTCCTATTTGTGCCCATTTCAAAGAAAGGTGATCCAATAGGATGCAGAAATGATCAAACAATATCACTAATATCACATACAAATGAAATTATGCTGAAAATAATTTTTTAAGTGGTTGTAGAAGAACATTAGCAGGGAATTGCCAAAAATGTAAGCCAAATTCATAGAGGTCACGGACCAAAGGATAGCTCTGCTGACGTTATATGGATCTTGGCACAAGGCAGAAAACACCAGAAAGATGTTTACTTGTGTTTTGTTGACTATGCAAAGGTACTTGACTGTGTGGATCACAACAAATTATGGACAGCATTGTGAAGATTGGGAATTCCAGTACACTTAAGTGTGCTCATGAAGAAGCTGTACGCAGACATAGAGGCAGTTGTTCCAACAGGGTGCAGCGCATGGTTTATAATTAGGTACCATGTGCATCAGGGTTGCATCCTTTCACCAAACCTATTCATTCTATATGTTGAGCAACTAATCGGAGAAGCTGGATTATATGAGGAATGCAGTATCAGGACTGACAAGAACTCATTAACAACCTGCAATATGCAGATGACACAACCTTGCTGGCTAGAAGTAACGAGGACTTGAAACACGTACTGATGAAGAGCAGAGACTACAGTTTTCAGTATGGATTACAACTCAATGTAAAGAAAACAAAAACCTTCACAAGGGGACCAACAGACATTGGTCTGTTGGAGAAAAGATTGAAGTTGTCAAAGATTTCATTTTACTTGGCTCTACAATCATAGAACCAGGATTCAAAGAATCAACGACTTATTGAATTAGGCAAAATGTGCTGAAGAAGAAATCTGTTAAAAAGCAAAGACGTCACTTTGAGGACTAAGGTGCTCCTAGTTCAAGCCATGGTATTATTGTCTCATACACAGTGGAAAGCTAAACAATGAATAAGAAAGACAGAAAAAGAACTGGTGCATTCAAATCACATGTTGGAGAACATTGAAAGTACCATGGACTGACAGAAGACCCAGCAAATCTGTCTTGGGAGAGGTACAGCCCAATGATCCTTAGAAGGCAAGTATGGCAACACTGCACTTCATATCCTTTGGACATGTTATCAGGAGGGACCAGTCCCTGGAGAAAGACAGTATGCTTGGTAGTGGGTCAGTAAAAAACAGAAAGACCCTCAACAAGATGCAAGTAGCTACCACAATGCGCTCAAACATTATAAGGACTCTGAGGATGGCGCAGGGCCGGCAGTGTTTCCTTCTGTTGTACAGAGATAGAGTCGTCGAGTTGGAACCCACTCCAAGGCACCTACCACCACTAATCCATGCGGCGGGCGGGCTCACGACTCGAGCTATTTCCGCAGCCGCGGGCCACATTTCCCTTTCCGATTTAGAGAACACTTCCACCCCGGACGCCCGGGCCAGCGCGCCGGCCCAGCAGTGAGGAGCCTAGGAGTTCTAGAAGCTCCGGGACGCTAGGACCTTTCCAAAAGGCTGTGACCTCGGCCGACGGCCTGGCGACGCGCATGCGCGAGTCCCGCAGAGCCGTCCTGCCGGCGCGCGCCCCCGGCCCGGGGAATAGATGAGGGCCAGCCCAGGGAGAGGAGAACAGAGCGGTCACACCTAGGATGTGCAAAAGCTGAGAAGGAGCCGTTCCTGGAACGGAAAGGCTTCCCCGACCCCAAACCTCCAGCCCAGAGAGTAGGTCGGTTCCTCACACTCTGTAGGAGACTCCTCCTCTGCGCCGCCATCTTGGAGGGACCCCCGCGGGTGCGTCCGCCTCCCAGCGGAGCCGGCGAGAAGGGCGGCTAGAGCGGCCTGAAAGAGGCGAGGAGAACCACGGTGCCAAAGAGCATGCGCCCAGCGCCACCTCACGGCCGAAGTCCGCTGGGGTTGTGGCTGAGAGTGTGCGCAAGCGCAATCTCCCACTGTTGCCTTTCTTGGAAATTTAAGGCCGGTGTGGTGCTGCGGGATAAATTCTGGATTGCAAACTACAAGGTTAGCAGCCGATTCAAACCCACCAGCCGCTCCTTGGTAATCTTATATAGGGTCGCTATGACTTGGAACCGACTCCACGTTGTTGTTGTTAAGTGCTGTCGAGTCGGTTCCGACCCATAGCGACCCTGTACAGGGTTTCCGAGGGTGCAAATCTTTACGGGAGTAGAAAGCCTTATCTTTTTCCTGCGGAACAGATGGTAGTTTCGAACTGCCGACTTTAAGGTTCGCAGCCCGATTCGTAACCACTCCTTACATAACAACAAAAACAATGCGCAGTGATTTAAGCGTTGACTGAAAGGTGTGGGGCGGAGGAGGGGCTGAGGGCTTGAATCCACCAGCCACTCTTTTGGGAAGAGATGAGGAAGACTTCCATAAAGATGTACAACCTTGGAAACCCTATAGGGCAGTTCTACCCCGCCCTATAGGATCACTATGAATCTGAATTGACAAAAAGGCAATGGGGTTATAAAAGTCCACTGTAGGAAGACCCTATGCGCAACAAAAGGAAACAGTGCCTAATCCTAGCCATCCTCACCATTGTTCAATTTGAGGCCATTGTTGCAGCGACTGGGTCGATCCATCGCATTGAGGACCTTCCACTGTTTTGCTTTTATCCTCTACCTTATTAAGCATGATGTCCTTCTCCAGGGACTGAGAATGAACGCATGGCTTCTACCAAGACATACTTTCCTAAAGTCCTTGAGATTAGTGTTCTTGCGTTTTGCGAATCTGTCTAGTACATTGCCTTTGGAGTTCTTGGGTGGCACAAATAATTGAAATGTGCTCACTACTAGTCCTGGGAAGTGCTGGTGTGGCGCTGTGGGTTAATGCGACAGACTGCAAAGCCATCCGAACTAAAAGGTCGGTGGTTCAAGCTCACCAACTGCTCCTCAGAAACCCTATCCAGGATCGCTATGGGTCGGAACCTACTTGACAGCACTAAACAACAACAACTTGTCCTGGTGTGCTGTGCATTAATGTGCCAGACTGCAAAGCTGTTTTAACTGCAAGGTCGGTGGTTCAAGCTTACCAGCTGCCCCTTGGAAACCCTATACAGTGTCACTATGGGTCAGAACCGACACAACGACTCTTAACAACAACAACAACTAGCCAAAAGGAGTCCTGGTGTGGTGCTGTGGGTTAATGTGTGGGACTGCAAGGTCGGTTTGAACCACAAGGTCGGCTGTTCAAGCTCACTAGCTGCTCCTTGAAAACCGTATACACGGTTGCTATGAGTCAGAACCAACTTGACAGCAATTCACAACAACAGCACTAGCCAAAAGGTTGGTGGTTCAAACCCACCCAGAAACACCTTGGAAGAAAGCCTGGCAACAGGCTTCAGAAAGGTCACAGCCTGAAAATCCTATAGGGCAGTTCCACAGTTTTACCCTGCATACATAGGAGCTCTGGTAGCATAGTGGTTATGAATCGGGCTGTGAACCTCACGGTCAGCAGTTCAAAACTACCATCTGTTCCACGAGAGAAAGATGAGACTTTCTGCTCCCGTAAAGATTTACAGCCTCGGAAACCCTGTACAGGATCGCTGTGAGTTAGAAACCAACTCCACGGCACATCACAATGACAACAACAACAACTCTGCATACAAAGGAGCCCTGGTAAGTTAATGGGTTAAGTGTTGGGCTGCTAACTGGGATCTACCAGCCCTCAACTGGAGAAAGCTGAGGCATTCTGCCCCCATAAAGATTTACAGCCTTGGAAATCCCCTACACAGGGTCTCTATGAATCAGAACCGACTAAACAGCACACAGTCAGCACCATCATGTGCATACATGTAGTTGCCATGATTCAGAATCAACTGCATGGCAACTAGCAACACCTGCAGAATCTTATCCAAAGTCACAAGCCTCCATTGACCTTGTATAATCTCCACAGTGTAAAGTCTTCCTACCAGATGCTTCGTTTTAACTCATCTAACCTCAAGGTCGGTGGTTCAAACTCACCAGCTGCTCCTCGGGAACCCTACACTATGGGTCAGAACCGACTTGATGGCACTTAACAGCAACCCTTGTAATTGGAGTGCTGGTGTGGGGCTGTGGGTTAATGCGCTGGACTTTAAAGTCAGTTTGAACTGCAAGGTCGGTTCAAGCTCATCAGCCATTCCTCGGAAATCCTAACACAGTGTTGCTATGGGTTGGAACCAACTCAATAGCACTTAACAACAATGACAACCCTTGTGATTGGTTTAGTGGGCAAATTCTCCCCTTTCATGCAGGAGACCCAGTTTACACCTCATGTACAATCACTGACCATCTGTCAATGAAAGCTTGGGTGTTGCTGGGATGCTGAACAGATTTCAGCAGAGCTGGCAGAGTAAGAAAGGCCTAGAGAACCACTTCCAAAACTCAGCCCGTTAAAACCCTGTGGATTCACTGAATAGTTATCATCTTGTCTAGATGGGTCTGGTGAAAAGAGATGGGGATAAGATTTGTAAGATTCAATAGTAAATAACTGTTATCATGACTAATTGTGACTGTCACAATTGTAAAGGTAGAAGTTTTGTAACCAAAAAAAAGGGTAATGGTTAATCTTACAGTCCAGAAACAGAGGACCCTAGGACCATCAAGAGAGGAACGCACAAGCAGAGTTCGGGACCTTATCCAGAGAAGCAGCGCCAGAGATGGGGGCATGGAGAGGCTGAGGACTCTAGATTCATGGACTAAGAAAAGAAGGACTAAGAGCTGGTGGCCAGGAGCAGACTTGCAGAATGTGCCCTTTGGAGATGTAAATTA